TTAGACTTAAGTAGAATCCGTATGTTCGTTTGGCTGGAAGCTAGCTATTTTACTTTATAAAGTTTTAAATATTAATATTTTTCTTACACAATCGTTTTTCTTCAGAAGGCCTTTATTAACCCCCTGGAGGTTAATAATCTGTTGGTTGCAATCCATTGCCATTATAAAACTGGGAAATTGCAATTATAGGAAGACACTGACAGAGCAGCGAGACAGCGGTTGTGGCCAGAGGAGTGCACCAGAAAAGCTGGAAAGATGCCGTTCTTTCTTGCAGCGAAGGCTTGTGTGGATGGGATGCAGATTTTACTACTACAAGATGACAAAATGGAGAACTAATGAATTTGCTGTTTTAGAGGACAAAGCGCCAGAAGAGAGAAAAAAGGAATAAAGGCAGATTTCTCCCTTGAAGTTCGACAGTGGATGTGACGTATTAATGAAATTCTGTGTTCTGGTAAAAAAAAAAAAAAAAAAACCCTGAAAACTCTAGGTTGTGCTGGACAGTTAAAACAGGGTCGCAGTTATTGTCCCCGCGTTTCATTTTTATCTTCTTTTTCTCTCTTGTTTTTATTTTCTCAATACAAATTAGGCTGTATAGAATGTTTTATTTTTTATTTAAACAGAAGGGTTGACCGGGAATTGGTGTTCTTATAAACCAAGGTTAAAATTATTTCTAATCCTGACTTTTTCATTAGTTTCTCTTGGGGCACCCGCAAATAACAGAAATGTTTTTTTTTTTCTTGAAAGATAAAGGGCTAATTTTTATTAATTACAAGAAAAGCATAATCCAAGGGCTGATCAGAATTTTTGGATGAGCCAGTGGTGTTAGGATAGTCATGGTACAAATAGATCAGCAGAGGTCGCTATTCTCAAAGGAGATTTCAGGGGGGAAATAGAAGGTGGCAAATACTCAGTTGGCCTCCCAAATGAGTAAAATATGTTGTTATTATTATTGTTGATGTCTGGCGAAAAATTAACCCCACAAAACGTATGTATATACATGGCAGAATAGTGATTTATCAATGCAATCTCGTATAGATTTATGGTTAATATCAGAGGAGTTGACATCCTTTAGACAACGTTACTATTGATCCTACATGTTTTACGGACCATAAATCTATTCACATTTTTATCACCATTAATGAAGTAGAAGTGAATACTGGATTTTAACAATTCATTATTATCAAATGATGATTTTAAGTGTGAAGTCTTAAGAATAATTGGAAAATACTAATTACTAATACTAGTAATTAAACAGGTTAATTACTAAGCAATATAGGCTGCATTGGGATCTTATGAAATATAAAGTGAGGAGTTGACCCATTCAAATTAGTAAAATGAGTAAAACGATTGGCAAAAATAAACAAGTCAAAAATGCAAGCTATCTTCCAAGAGTTTGGTGTCTTCTGTGATAATACACATTTAAAGGGTTAGTTCACCCAAAAATTAAAATTCTATAATGTATTACTCACCCTCGTGTCGTTCCAAACCCGCTAGACATTCGTTCATCTTCGGAACACAAATTAAGATATTTTTTTAATGAAATCTGAGAGCTTTCTGTCCCTCCATTGACAGCCTATGCAACTACCACTTTCCAGCCCCAGAAAGGTAAAGTCAAGACATCATAAAAGTAATCCATGGCTGCATCTCAAATCACTACTACACTGAAATCACTATACTGCTTTCTACCTATAGTAAAGAATTATAGTGATTTCAGTGTAGTAGTGATTTGACAAAAGAAGTTGGTCCGAACTCACAGTGCTCATAAAAGACCAGGCAAAAAGTACCCAGATGGCCACGGGAGAGGATGTGTGAATGGCAGTGAAGTGACGGAACTGACGGTGGCAGGTCATGTGATAATGACGGCATGATGTAGTAGCCTATGTCCGGATTACATTCATACTACAGTACACACTCATATAAACATACTTTTTTAGCGGTTGTGAAGTAATTAGCCTACTTATTCAAAATAAGTAGCCAACCTACTCAAGAGAGAACGTGATTTAGGATGCAGCCCATGTGACTGCAGTGGTCCATGCGCGCATGTTTTGATGCGCAAGCTATAACATTTATTATTAAAGCTATAATTCTAATCTAGGCCTGTATTATTTTGTTGTTATTTATGAGCGTGTTTATGTTGTAATGTGTTAATGAACTGATAAATTGCTGTCCTGTTCAGATTTATGCAAATTATTAATCATGATGATTGTGTAAAATCGATTCGAAACAACTATGGTTAGACCTTGCACTTTGAAACCTATTTCAAAGTTTGTGTTCTCAGGCCACCAAAACACCATTGACGTGTAAATGAACGGCCAGAACGCATTAAAAGTTTTCTGTTTTCAGTTGAAAACGGTGTCAAAATTGAATAATGATTTTTACAACGGAAATGAATAGATCAAAAACTTACTTAAACAGGACAATGACTTAGAGCTGCTGTACAGCCAAAACAATCTTTGTTGCATTAATTTCCTATTATTACTATAAACTGCTTTGAAACAATCTTTATTGTAAAAAGCACAAGGCCCATAGGCTATAAATGAAGGTTAGGCTATACCTGCTTATTGATTATGCAGATATAAATCTGCATAAACAGAAAAATCGCCTGGTGAGTTTTTCGGGGTTAAACTTTTTTACTTGACTAAGCAAGAGTAGCTACTCGGAGGAGTACCGAATTATTTTTCTCAATAATTGACATGCTTTCCGTGAAACAGGCACAAGCATAAATTCGTCCATTAGTTTTTGTTGCATTCAGTAGCCTATGCGTGTTTAAATTATAGGTTCAACATTTCTTTTTATTTTTTTATTTTTTTTATTTTTTATTATGTAATCCAATACATACAAGTAACTGACACAACAAAAAAACATAAAGGTCTCATACATAAACATTAACATGTAAACATGAAAATAACATACATAAACGTGTGTGTGTGTGTGTGTGTGCATGTATTACTGGGTGTGTAAGGGGAAATAACTTAACAGAAGAAAATCTTACAGATACAACAGACATAAAAATGAACTAAATAATAATAATAATAATAATTTTAAAAAAACGGGGGGGGCTGTCTCTGATCTCCCCTTGGCCAAGACACACTAATGGGCCACTAGGTTCAACATTTCTAATACGTCATCACAAATTAAAAAGTTTAGGCTACACGAATGACTTTCATGGTATTTTTAAATGCGGCATAAATCCAACATTTTGATGCAGTCTTTACTACAAAAACACAAACAAACTAATCTAAAAATTAAAATAAATGTTCACATAGTTAAACATAGTGAGAGATTTGTTTTTGATGCACTAAAAAGAACCGAGTCATGAGTCATTCATTTTGGTAATCGTGTATGTGTTTAATTCATTAAAAAAGAACCTGCTCGAGGCATCGGATTACCGTACTCGGGGAGTCTCTGCTCGGGCTGTGTGTTTAGCTGTGTTGTGTGGTGGTGCAGTTGAAGAAGTATTGCGTCTGCAGGAGACTGTCAGTGTATTTAAGTCTACAGTATTCCGTCCGTTTCGGAGGAAGAATTCCGGTGCGAGAATGCCTAAGTAGGAGAAAGAAATATTCATAAACAGAATTATCACAGAGAGAATAATTCCGTTCCGTGATGGGGAATGGGCTCTGCACCAAGAAAGCAGGTTCTCCCAGTCCCAGGTAAAACGACCATTTTATCGGCTTTATGTTTCAAAAACGAGACATAGGAGGTGACAGTTTCAAATATCCATTTAGACATTCATTTGAATTAACTAATTTTTTTTAACTACTGTGTGCAATATTGTCTGTCCTGCTGTGTCAGATTAATTAGGTTAATCTATAATGTTTTTCTTCTGACGTAAATTTCCCAGTAATCCAATTTAAAGGAGTGTGCACTTCAGTGTGATTAGAGAAAACCTAAACAAACACACTCAAATATGACATTATGATAATGTAATGGTAATAGCCTACTGTAAAATATTTTACATTAGGTGAATCAATTTTTGATCAATCAATTTAAATTTATATATTAAGCCACTATATAATATTTAATATATAAATATTGGGCTTATATATTAATTAATGGGTGGTTGCACTGTTAATAATTTGTAAAATGCTGATTTAAAGAAAGATAAAACTGTATTTTTTTTCTTTCTCACAGTAGAGGAGTCTCTCAGCAATGATCCATCATCATTATCATCTTCACCACCACCTTCATCATTAAATAATTCTGCTGTACCTATAATCATCATCACAACTCCATCTCGAGAAAACCTTTTGGAAAGGCCAGTGAGTCTGAAAATAGAGGATGCTAATAAAGAGCCGCGGCCCATGGGAAGTCCTGTGGTTGTTGGTCGAGGTCGTTTTATCAAAGACACAGTCTGATTTAATGAGGTATGAAATAAAAATGTTAGTTATTTTAGTCATGGGGGTAAATGTTACCGAGCTAATTACTTGTTTCCATATAAAGTTATATTTCCTTCTTCGAGGGTCAAAGGTTCGAAAGCAGAATGCTCCACTGGGCGACACTCATCGCAGGACTGGTTTACGTCACCAGTGGCATTAAGTACTCAAAACAGCTCTGTATTCATTTCAAGGACTGGTACGGGTACATTTGGAAATCCTATTTCCATTTAACGATTCAATACAAAGCCAATAAAAAATATTTTAAAAAAGAAGAAGAAGCTTGGCCATCCACTAATGTAGACGTGACAGCGTTTTCTTGGGTGCTTTCTTAGAAAGCTGAATTGTATCTAAACTAGAATAATAAAATAAAAATGAATAATTTAGACACATAGCCTAACGTCTACCTCCATCCATTTTATACACCTTACTTGAATTACCATCAATTGTTATTTAAACAACAAAAATGTCATGAGACATATGCCTAATAAAAATAACTCAAAAACAACTAAATCAATTACAAATACTCTGTTTGAAGTCGCTTTTTTATTCAGTATCTGTGTTAATGTACTGCCTGATCCCCTATATCAGCGTCTTATTTTTATTTTCAGTAATCAGATTTACATTTGTATTGTGCGAGAACATAAACCCACTAAACGCTGACGGTTGTCCATGTGGAAGTTCAAATGAGCGACTGTAAGCTTTCACGGAGTTACACTTCCGCTTCTTACTTGAGATGTAATTTACTAGGTTAGATTTGTTCTGTCTTTACGTGAAAACTTACAGTAATGAAACATTAAAGTGTTATATTAATCATTGATCCGGACGAATCTGGAGTGATTGGAGATGGAAAGCACAGCAGAAACAGATCTAGAGCCTTTAAAGCTGAAATCTTTAAAAACAAACAAGACGTTTGTAATACCCCACAGTGAACGGGTAAGACCTGCTGTGTTTTAAATATAAGCTGTATTTGTATTATAAAACAAGAGTTACATAAACATGTATTGCAGTAATTGTGCGTGATGTGTGTAGTTGGGGAAATGCAGGAGTGTGAAGGAGTACGAGAAGATGAATCGGATTGGAGAGGGAACATATGGAATCGTGTGTGAGTCTCACAAGCAGGACTAATAATGCTCATAGCAGCTATATCAATGAAAATAATATAATGCATCATTATATCTGTCATATGTCATACAGAAATATAATCGATTTCTTGATTGAGTGATTGTTTGTGGTTTACAGACCGAGCACGTGATACAAGGACAAATGAAATTGTTGCGCTGAAGAAAGTGCGAATGGATAAAGAGAAAGATGGTCAGTTTGATACTTCAAAGGGAAAATAGTTAATTCTAAAAAATAATATTTTGTCAGAATTTATTCACTCTCATGTCGTTTCAAACCTGTATGATTTTCGTTTTCCATGAAACAAAAGAAGATCGTGTAATGTTTTCTTAGGCTACTGCTCTATTTCATGCAATGAAAGTGGACCATATTGCATTCATCTGAAAGCAATTTTGTCCAAATAGGAAAAAGAAGAAACTGCAATGGTTCTTGCATGTATACAAGTCAATTTATTCACAATAAAGCTACATGTGATATCTATCCTTACTGTGATAGAAAATTATTAATTTTGTGGTCAAGTCACCTTCATTTATATAACACTTTTAACAATATAGATTGTTTCAAAGCTGTTTTACTGTGATAATAGGAAATTAAAGTAACAGAGATTGTTTTGGCTTTACAGCAGCTAGAATAAGGTTATATTGTCTAGCTAAAGTTAGTTTTTGATTGATTCACTTCCATTGTAAAAATCATTAGTTATTAACTTAACATTAGTTATTAACATTAGTTATTAACTTACACCACACCGTTTTAACTGAAAACAGAAAACTTTTAACGCGTTCTGGCAGTTAATTTGCACGACAACAGTGTTTCGTGGCTCGAGAACGCAAGCTTTGAAATGGGTTCCAAGGTACAAGTTTTGACAATTTTTGAAAACGTTATCATCTCCGTGTAAGCTTCAAAAACATGAACCTGGTATAAGATTTGATGTTGAAGCATTCTTATCAGGGAGCTACGGTAGTATTTCAGTCTTTTAATCCCCCAATTTTAAATTGATATTGTGATATTTATCTTTAGGGCCCGAACACCAATGGTGCTAGGACTCTCTTGGAATTGCTCTGTTTATTCTTCTTCTTCTTCTTTTTCTTCTTCTTCAAAGTTAATCGCATTTTTGAGGGCCTAAACTTGCTCTAAAACTCACAAAACTTTGCACACGCATCAGAATTGGCGAAAATTTACATTAAATTCATAACTTTTTTTAAAACAAAAATGAAACATCACTGGACTGTGATGCTATTTTCTTCTGAAAATAAACTTTTTTGCATTATTTTCCTGTTATCTCTGTAAAGCTGCTTTGAAACAATCTGTATTGTAAAAAGCGCTATATAAAAAAAGGTGACTTGACTTGACATTTGAAATGGGTTTCAGAATTGGGTGGGGCAAAATGGCTAGTTTATCTTTTATTATTTATATTTCTTGGATCTAGTAAGCACTCCAGCAGCTGCATTTTATAAACCAAATGGAGCTTATATTGAGCTTGCAGAACATCAACCCAATAAAGCATTGCAATAATCTTGAAGTTAATACATTGATTAGTGGTTCTACAATGTGATTATCAAAAGCAAATAGCTATCAAACATAACGTATTTACATTCTTAGCTGTAGAAGATGATGTGATGATACAACCATCAAGTGACAAATTATATTCTAGCATGTTTACAGGATATGTGGTGAAAATCTCTCCCAGGGAAGCAGATACTGTGAAATCCTGATCCCTGTTGCACTCAGTTGTGCTTGATCTCTGTGTTTGTTGGCACAAATGATTTATCAGATAGGTAGGATCTAAAACGGGTGCAAAACTCAGTTCCTGGAGGCCACAGCCCTGCAGAGTTTAGCTTCAACCCTAATTAAACACACTTGATCCAGCTTATCATGTCTTTCAGGCTTATTTCAAGGGCGAATTCCAAACAGCATTTTTGCACCCTTAAAGGGCACTTTGGGAAGGGGACACCATTTATAGGGGCGCTCCAAAGAAACTGAACAACCGAATCCCTTCACGAAGGGCCCTTCCACAATTCCGTTAGTGAAGGGAACATGAGATGGTCACTTCAAGGAAGTTATTTTATGGCCATCGTTTATGGTCATGTGACCCAGGGTGGCGAATCCTCACGATTCATTTTAAATCTAGATTATGGCGGGAGAGTTGTTTTGTTTTGGTGTGGTTTATTACTCACATTGTCGTCATGCATTTCATATTAAGTTTTAAAAAGTTTCATAGGTACAGTAAGAAATGTGTTTAATGCTTTATGTAAAGTGTGTAAAGGGGTCATCGGATGCCTATTTTCCACAAGTTGGTATGATTCTTTAGGGTCTTCATGTAAAGTTTGTAACATACTTTGGTTGAAATTCCTCAATGGTTGTGTAAAACACCCTTTTTACCTCCTCAAAAACAGCTCTGTTCACAGCGACTCGTTTCTGTGCATGTCTCTTTAAATGATAATGAGCAACTGCTCACCCCACCTGTCTCTTCCGTGGGGCTGTCGACACAAGACAAGTGCTGCCTTGGCGGATAGTATACAAATGGCTGAGGGCGGAAATACGCTACTACGGTCAGCGGTCGTGGGCGGAGCATGAGCAATATGACATCATATTGCTCAGAAAATCCAAACGGCTTGATTATTGAGAGTGTTTAGGCTTTTTTAGGATTTAAAAAAAGGAGTGAATGGATTTTTTTCATTGTATGGTGGTTGTCCACACACTGCAAAGACACAGACTCTGTGATTTGTAGTTAACGCTGCTTCATCTGAAAGCACTGCAAGATTGACTCGCTTATAACTTGCATTTGAAAAAGCAACACTTTCCAAACATTTGTTGGACAAGAGGTTTGTAAATAAAGACAACATTTAATAACATGTTCCCTTTCAAAAGCTACTCTCAATGCTGCACTGAGCGCTATGGGAACACTTTGTGTGTGACCGGCTGTGAATAGTGTGTGTAACACGCCAATGAAATTGCCCTTGAACTTGAACCTCTGACGATGACGTGGAACAAGCGCTCGTCAGAGACTACAAATAGATGTGCAACAGGTGCGCTGTACAGGTTTCTTTGTTTTCAGAGACTGTTCTGTGTGTGCTACACTTGTTCTGTCACTCTCTAGTCAGGAGTTAGATTCCAGCTTGCAGTGTGCAGAAATCTAGTTGTGTCTACAGCGTAAAGAGGAAAATGAGCGTCACTCAAGGTCAACGGTGTGTTTCTCTGTGTTCACAGCCTATGCCTGAATACGACACACACCAGTTTTGCTTTGTGTGTTTGGGGAAGAGCATGCTGCTCTTGCGTTGGAGCACGGAGATAGTGAGCACTGTGAACTGTTCAGTGCTTCACGCTCGCGAGTCGATCTGGCTGAGGAGCGAGAGACGGGTCCGTCCCTATCGCTCACTCTCTCTCCAGATCGGGCTGTCCTCTTGCCTGACTTCGAAGAACGCCTCTTCGATTCGGGCAGAGGACAGTGCATCTCGTTTCTGGCGAGATGGATTATGAGTCAGATTACACTGGCCCCAGAAATGAAAGACACCCTTGACGAGTTAACTCGTTCATAAAAAGAGGCATTTCACAGCGAGTCTGGTACTGAAAAAATGTAAAAAGTGTTCTATCAAACGATACCTACCTTTTGACTCTCCTTGCTATAGTTTTGGAGTTATGAGTCTTTAGTTTTGTGTATGTCACTCAGAAAACGTACTCGGTTACCAACGTAACCTCGGTTCTCTCTAGAGAGGGAACGAGTACTGCGTAATAGCTTACGCTAGGGGAAAAACTCTTTTCCACGAGATATTGAAGGCAAAAATTATCCTCAATTTTTTATTAATGTAAAACGCTTTGCAGCAGCAAGCAGACATAGGCGAAACAGCTGGCGCGCCTATTGGTTGCTCTGCAGCAAATGCAGCAGCCTATCGAGAGAGACTCTGCGTGACGTAATGACCAATATCGTCACGTCCCGCCAGAAGGGGCGTGGTCTCACCCTATAAATATGCTCGTTAGGCTGGTACAAGCTGGTTTTTATCGCTGAAGCGAACCAGAGCGTATTCCAAGCACGGCAAGATACGCAGTACTCGTTAGTAACCGAGTACGTTCTCTTACGAGAGTATCTCTCGTACTGCGTAATAGCTTACGCTAGGGGAACACAATGCAACACGCCGTGCGTACAGGGATCCAACACCAAAGTCCCGGGGGCCGAAGCCCAGGGCTCATGTAGTGCATAATCCCCATAAACTCACATAGAGTGGAGGAAGAGAGGCTGGAAGCGTCATTCCCTATAAAAAAGCACCCAGCGGGGCTATCATATGACAATAAAACGCGCAGCCAGGGTGAAAGCCTTCAGCCTGATCTGGGTGGCCATACGTGTGTCAACACTCATGGGGCTGCAGTAAACTCAGCATCTGGGCCGCACAGCGGGGCAGATAGCACTGAATTTTAGACCGCCAACAGCTTAGCTTGTAAGGCGGGTACCTCCAGGTTATAGTATTTTATAAATGTAGACGGCGAGGCCCAGCCCGCGGCCGTACAGATATCTTGCAGGGAAACCCCACTCGACCACGCCCACGAAGAGGCCACGCCTCTCGTGGAGTGCGCTCTGACACCCAAGGGGCACTGTAGGCCCTTCGCAGAGTAAGCGAGCGCAATGGCATCCACTATCCATCTGGATAGGCTCTGTTTTGAGGCGGCGAGTCCCTTGGAACGGCCGCCAAACAAAACAAAAAGCTGCTCCGTCTGTCTGAAAACAGACGAGCGTGACACATAAGCTCTCAATGCCCTGACGGGGCAAAGGAGACTCGCATCCTCCTCCTCACTGAGAACCGGAAGGGCGGACAGGGAAATTACCTGGGCCCTGAACGGTGTATTGAGGGATTTCGGGACATACCCGTGCTTTGGTTTGAGAATGACCTTCGAGTCATTAGGCCCAAACTCCATACACGACGTGCTTACTGAAAGCGCCTGTAAGTCCCCTATGCGCTTCACTGAAGCGAGAGCCATGAGAAACACTGTTTTGAACGACAGGTGTTTCATGTCCACCAGCTGGATCGGCTCGAACGGGGCGCCTTTCATGGCCTCCAGGACCGTGGAAAGGTCCCACGTCGGGACTGAAGGGGGCCTGGGAGGGTTCAGCCTCCGAGCTCCCCTAAGGAAACGCACGACTAAGTCGTTTTTCCCCAGCGACTGGCCAGACACCGGTTTTGCAAACGTTGCTATGGCCGCCA